AGTGGGCACGCCCACTATTTGCATAAAGGGCGGGGCGCGTTCTCCCCTAGCCTTCTTTCCTGCCAAGGCTGTCCGTATTTAAAAAAAAGGCAGAGCGTACCGAGCCTGCGGGAGATATTTGCATAAGGAGGCGGGCCTTATAGGCTGTAAGCCACTGGTTGGCTGAGGAGGCGGGCCTCCAGCGTCGGCCGTTGGGACGTAAGAGGGGTGGGGCCGGCCGGCCAGGCGGTTGGGACGCAGAATTTACTCGACGGACTGGGGAGGAAGAGGCGGGGCGTGCGTCACGCGTTCGTGGAAAGCTCGGAGCCGGGAGACGTAGGGCGTCTGTGGAAGGAAGCGGTGCAAGATCCGTGGCGCTTTCAGTGGAAGGGAGCGGGAGAGGGGGGAGGGGCGGGAGGGTGTGTGTGTGTGTGTGTGTGTGTGTGTGTGTGTGTGTGAGAAAGCGCGCCAGGGGCGGGGACTGGCTTTGATTAAATCACGTCATGTAAATGAGGCGGGTAGACGGCCAATCCAAAGGTCCCGGGGAACATATCTGCACCACATAGCGGAAGCCTTCTTTGGGTAGTTCTACTTATTTGCATAATATATGCAAATCTTGGAACAAAGCTGAGGCTAAGAATGACCGATTCACCAAAATACCTGCAACCCATGACCAAGGCGGATACTAATTTTTATAACCTATCATTTTCATGAGAATACTTGTATGTTTTATATTATTGGCAGTTTGTATTGACAACGGTTTCATTTTACAAGATGCAGTTGTGCTAGTTATTACCTTCCTTTGTCTCTTATTAACTCAGTTGCAGGACCCCCTGCTCCACTGAGACCTACTACCCCTCCACAAATACATTTTGAAGGTCCACTCAGATCAATGTTACCATGGACGTATGTACAGATTGTTAAAGAAGTACAGAGAGAAATCCTGCCGTGCTTGGGGAGATAGAAATATTTTCAGAATATCGTGACTTTTGGAAGGGTCTGTGAACAACTTGTTCGAATTTAGCCGAGTTTGAGCTTCCGACTCAGAGAGGGCCCGTAGACAGCAAAACACAGCCTGGTCCTTGGCCACTCTCACAGTCGATGCTGTGCTTGAGCTGTTGGTGCAACCCTTGTGCCAGCCCATCTCGTTGAGAGTCTTCTTTTCCTGACCACCTGCTTTGCAGTAGCGCCCTGTGGCACAGTGCGAGGCAATGGGCAACTAACCATAGGTGCTTTATTCGTGTTTTATTCACACCCAGCAGTCACGCAGGAAGAAAGATGAGCCTCTCTGCGCTTCTAAAGACTTCCAGCCCTTGCAAACTATGAAGCAGTTTTTGATCAGAAACGTGTGCTCTGTAGGCTGACTGTAATTTGGAACTGACACAAAGGTAGCTTGTGAAGGTTAGGTTTTCTATTAAGCAAGAGGCCCTTCTCCAGGGACTGATCCATCTTGCTAACATATCCAAAGTGCATGAGATGAAGTCACACCGTCTTCACTTTTAAAGAGCATTCTGGCTCTACCTCCTCCATGACATTTATTTGTTCCTCGGGGAGCACTTGGAGGGATCAAGGGAGGGAGGGAGAACATCAGAGACAGTGAGACATGGTGAGAAACCACAGTGGCAGAGGCAATGGAACCGGAAGATGGGACAAGAGTGTGGTGGGCTTCATTACCTACAGATAAGAGGTTATGCTGGGCGTAGAGAACTGTAGGGTGAAAGAATTGGGTGCCTGCTGACATGAGGCTTTCTTCTGGTGGGGTGGGGTGCCTATGAACACTTGTCAGGGGAGCTAGGCTTGCCAACCCATGAAACAAAGCCGAGAGCCTTCCATACTGAGGCTAGTGGAGGAAGTGTCTCTGGGCAGTTATTGGAGAGGCTAAAGGATGTTTTAACCATTGCTATAGCCGGACAGAGGCCATTGAGGGGCTGAAGAGCCAAGAGACCAAGGGTCAAGGAGGGGCATGCCTGTGGGCATGGCTGAAAAAACAAAACAGAAATTTGTTCTGATTGAAGAACTGGGTCCTGAGTTAATTCTGATCCTGAATTGTAAACTGCTTACTTCGCTAATAAATGCAAAATTGTGAGTATTGTCTGTGATATCTCTGTGGCCATTACCCCATTGGAGAAGTAGACAGTGCCATGGGAGGGTTGGAGGCATGCCTGAACTCTGTTTCATAGAAATCAGCTTTGGGCTGTTGATCCTGATTCTCCTTCTCCCTTGTAAAATTAGAAGAGGCCAGACACTGCCCTCATGCCATTTTTACACCTGGTCTATCTACAACCATTGTCTCAGTTGATGGTGGTCTCAAAAATCCCACTAAGAATAAACTTAAAGGGCCCTGTAGCAGGGCATCCATACCCTACCAACTATAATAAAGTAAAGCACACACAGCGGAAGACGGTCATGTTGAAAATGCATTACTTAGGCACATCAAAAGATTAAAACGAGAGCCCACATATTGGAAAAAAATTTTACCAACAGCACATTGGACAAAGGTCTAATTACCAAAATCTACAGAACTCTACAACTCCTCCATAAGAAAATAACAAACGACCCAATTAAGAAATTGGAAAAAGACATGAGCAGACAGTCCCCCCAAAATGAAATACAAATGGCTAACAAACCCATGAAAAATGTTCATTCTCACTAGCCATCAGGGAGATGCAAATTGAAACCACAATGAGATACCACTTCACACCTACGGAAAACAAAATGTGCTGAAGAGGCCGTGGAGCAAATGGAACTCATAGACGCTGTTGGTGGGCTTGTAAATGTGTACAACCACTATGGAAAACGATACGGCGATACTTCAACTGGGAATTGAAAGCCCATGTAAGCCAGCAATGTCACTATTGGGCTTATACGCAAGAAATAAGAGACATGACACAAGTGGATATGTGCTCTTCCATGTTTATAGCAACACAGTTCATAATAGTAAGATGCCGGAAGTAGCCCAAATGCCCAACAGTGGAAGAATGGATAAAGGAACGTTGGTACGTGCACACGCTGGAATACGAGGCATCCCTGAAGAAGGTGGAACATGAAATAGCCTATGACATAGAAGACCTGGAAAACATGCTGAGTGAAGTCAGTCCATCACAAAAGGACAAATAGGAGTTTCTACTCTAAGGAGAAACACCAATTAAATCTTAGAGGCCAATTCCCAAACAGGGTAGAAAGTCTGCCTACCAGCCATGATCCATACATCACCCTCCCTGTATGCACTTCATAAAAAACCCCTAGAAAGAGGGGACCTCACATTGGCTGGTGTGGTAGTTAATACAATTTCAACTTGATAAAAGAATGAAGGGGTGGAGTCTAGCCTTTCACAGCCTGATGATCCCTCCTTGTGAACATGACCTTCTCATGCGGATTCTGGAAACTTCCTCTCTCTTGATTCTGCCATCAGAAGAGGCAGCTCTCTCTCTCTCTCTCTCTTTCACATTCCTGTTGACAAGCCACATGGAGCCACACTGATGGCAGCCAGAGTCCTGGAGATGCATTCACTGCCATTGGATCCACAGGACTTTCCACCCTCTGGCCAGGGCCAGTGATCTTCCTGCATTTGGCATCATTGCATGCATGTGCTGCGTGAGTCCGAAGAGGAACTCATGTGTAATATCAGACTTATGGGCTAATAGTGAACTAATGGACTTGATCCGGACTGGGCTGGGCTGTCTTATGGATACATAATTATTTCTTGATATAAAGTTCTCTCTTACACATATATAAGGGTTAATGAATCTGTTTTCTACTCAACCCAGTCTTACAGAGCTGCGGTCACCGCTTCAAGAACGGGGAAAGGGAGAAGTCCTTCCACGTAATGCCATATAGCACTGAGACAAGGCTGCGGCTCCTCGGGAAGGAGAGGATAACTCCCCTGGGAAATCAAGTTAGGACCAGGAGAGAGGAGCATCTTCAGCACTGTTGCTAGGTGTGGTGGGAAAATGGGGGAGCAACCTCACATTGGGAAGGGATGCTAAACAAGAATTGTAGGGAACCCGAGGGGAAAAAGCCCCAGTTCTGTGGTCCTGGGTAGACACTTTGAATATGTTTCTACCCAACCTTCGGTGAACCATGGCATGGACTAAGCTCCATGATGACCCAAGACACCGGCCTTACAGGGAACATAGCATCCCCAAGGGCCACACCAGAAGGACTCAAGGCGGAAGCCCAACTGAACAAACGGGGCCCTACCTCAAAACTACCTGTGCCCTTGGACTTAGGACCGAAATACTCTGATGGGAAAGGAAGCCAAGGATGCCAACACCAGGATTGTGGAAATGGCAGTTGTTAGACCTTGGGTGGGACCCCTGGCTAATGAACGGGAACCCAGAACCACCATTTAGTTAGTATCTCAATGCTCCCCTTGCATGAATATGACAGGTATTAATCTGATAGGCAAGGACCTGCCCTTGAAAGGAATGTTTTATAAGAACAGTTTCCCTAGCACACCCCCCCCCCCCCCATATTCAATGCAAACTGAGCTCAATCACTTAAGAAATCAATCTGTACAGGCCTGAATTTTAACCTATTACCGTATATACTTGAGTATAAGCTGGCCCGAATATCAGCCGAAGCACCCGATTTTACCACAAAAACGGCATTAAAAGTGTGCTGAGAAACTCAGCTTATACATGAGTATATGCGGTACTTCCTACTAAACCCTATAAACATGAGTATTGCCTGTGAGTCCTGTGTGACCCCGGGAGAGAACTCTAAGGTCCTGTGGGGAGCACAATTTGGTGCCAGACTTGGTAAACAGGTTGGAATGAGGAGGCATTCCCTGCACCTTGTAGGAATCAGTGTTGGGCTAATGCTGCTTAAGGCGGCTCTTCCTCCTCATGACGTTAGAGAAGGCCAGATGCCCCCACCATGCCACTTGTACACCGGCAAGGACTCCCCAGTTGTCTCGCCATAAAAGCCTTACAGTGGCCTGCAGGGTCCCAGATGATCTGGCCCCAACCGTGTCTGAGCGCATTTCTTAATATTACGCTCCTGACCTGTTAGGAGGCATGGTCTTGCCTCGGAGCCTGTCTGTTGACTTTTTCCTCTGCCCAGTTGACTCTTCCCCAAGACATCCTTTGTTTCATCCAAGAACATCAGTTCTTTCCCTCGTTCATCCATTGATTTGTGTTTTAAACATGATATGATATGTCAGGAGACCTGGTGGTGCAGCAATTCACACTGAACTGCTAACTCAAAGGTTGGTGGTTCAAACCCTGCAGCTGCTCCGTGGAGGAACTATGTGGCAGTTGATTTCTGTAAAGATTACAGCCTTGAAAACCCTATGAATAAGGCAGTTCTACTATATCCTATAGGGTGGCTGTGAGGTTTTTTTGTTTTTAACTGTTTATTGGGATTTGAATGAAAGCTTACAGAGTATTGGTTTCCCAGTCAATAATTCATATACATTTTGTTTTGTGAAGATCACTATAAGTTGGAATCAACAGAACATCAATACATTTTTCATTTTTTCCCTTTTCTATTATTTTTTTAAATCGTTCTATTAGGGGCTCACACAACTCTTATCACAATCCATACACACATCCATTGTGTCAAGCACATTTGTACATTCATTGCCCTCATCATTCTCAAAACATTTGCTCTCCACCTGAGCCCCTGGCATCAGCTCCTCATTTTCCCCCTCTTCCCCGCTCCCCCCTCCCTCATGAACTCTTGATCATTTATAAGTTATTATTTTGTCATATCTTGCCCTGTCCGACGTCTCCCTTCACCCACGTTTCTGTTGCCATTTTTCATTTCTATGGCATGTCGGGCACTGCAGAATCGGTCGTAGTCTCAACTTCAAGAGGAAAGACTCAGAGAGTCACAGAGCTCGGAGTGGTGGAGAACACTGGCCTAAGGTTGACTCGTGCTTTTATACCATTGACCAAGGGCCTGGGTGGCTTGTTTTGCTCTGTACCTGTCATTTCCCCCCCACTTAAATCCTTGCGGACAAGACTGTCTTATACATCTGTGATCGCATTCCATCTACAACCCCATTTGCATCTTCTGGTAAATCTACATTTACAACACCGTTTACGTTTACACACAATAGAATTGCTGATGTGTTGCTCTGCCCTTGAAGGCACTCCCTCCTTCCCTAACCCGGAGGAAGATGGTCTCCCTGCCCCGCACCCCCACTCCCCAAATTTAAAAAGACCACGCTCACTGGATCTGGAGAAGGAAGGTCATTTATTTCATTTTCAAGGTGACTCTGACTCACGACTTTGTCTTGTTCCATACTGAGGACAGCAGAGGTCTATTCAGCTCCACTCCCGCTCCCACCCCCTCACCCCCACCCCCTCCAAATCAAGGCAATTCAGAGATAGCTTTCTTGGCTGGAGGACCTGTTGGTTTCTCCTGTTCTTTCGTTTTCTCCTCAAACATCAGGATCCTGGTGGAGATGGGAAGAGACACGGGGGTCAGGAACGTTCCTCTCAAGAGAATATACTTAGAGGACTCGGAGAGGTCCGGCTTCCCACCAATACAACACAGAACAAAACCAAGACGAAAGTATTGCTAACAAGTCCATGCTGGCTCCTCATTCAAATGATTTCTTAGTCGATAAATCTTGGTGGGAGGAGGCAGTTTCACCCTTCTTTCCCTGGAAAGCCCGGGAGAGGGTGGGATTGGGAGGAGAGGGAACGGGAGCAGGGATGGGAGCTATGAGAACCAGATTCATGGTTGGGGGGTGGGGGGGGCGCTTGGAAAGGTCTCAGGATGGGAGAAATGAAGGCCAGGAGTGTGCAGAAGGTGAGCCTGGAGATAGGAATGCAGGTGCGCATGGGAGAGGCTGGAACTGGACCCTCACATTTTTAGGAGTGCAGATCTCTTGCCCAACATCATTCTGATGAAGTCGGCGTAGCTGAACGTTTCTCCAGAGCCGCTGGACACATCCTGGATTAATTTCTTTAGCTCCAGATGGGTCTTGGTGGCCCCAAGTTTCTCCAGCATTCGCTTCAGGGACATAATATCTGATGACAATGTGAGGGAGGGCAAAAAGTGGGGGCACTCAGCTTTTCTCTTACATCCCCAACTCTCCTGTTCCCATACCCCCTCCTCCTCCTCGGATAGGTAGACTTCTTCCGTCTGGGGTTTGCACAGTCCCCCTACCACCCTTTGTTTACCGATGTCTCCATTTCCGTTGAGGTCAAACTCCATGTATTTCTCTGGTGGGAGAGAGAGCAAGGTGATCACTGGCTGGCAGGTCACAGGCAGTAGACAGGGGCTGGGCTGGGATTGAGAAGGGGGTTGCCCAGAGCACTAGGTAGGGAAAAGATGTGGAAGAGGGAGGCAAAGCAGATAGGGAAGTGGGGGGTGGGGTGGGAACGGAAAGCCTTGTTAAGAGGCAGAATGAAAACTGCAGAACCAGCAGAGAGCTTGCACCTCGAGGGGCAATAGAGGCAGCCTTCCCCCTTCCCACCTAAAAGTCCATGTCGTCCCTTGGTGTCTGTCTTACTTGCTCCTTTTGTGGCAATCCTACTTCATTCCGCCCCCCTCCCTTCCCGCCTGCTCTCCACCCCACCCCCCACCCCCCATCCTCCAACTCACGCTTGAAGACTTCTAGTTTGGAGGGAAGATCCTCATCACTGCTGTATTTAGGATCATCCAGGAATTGCTATGGAGAGAGAGAGAGAGAGAGAGAGAGAGAGAGAGAGAGACCAGAATCGATCTCCTTCCTAGCCTAGGCCCCCCTTCCCTAGGTCTTGCCAGCTTAGTTGTTCCTTTTACCTTGTTGATTTCTTCGAGTTGTTCTTCCTGCTGGGCCTTCAGTTGTCCAAAAGCCTTCCCTCCTGAGGGGGCACAAAGAATCAGAGACCCTCGTCTCACCCCTACTTCTCTCCTCATCCCTATCGCCCAGCCTAGGGCCGTCTAGCTCTTTGCTCCAGTTTTATGGTCCTGCCCGTCTGTCTTCCTTTACCCTGGACATCTCTGGTTTGACTCATGGCTCCGCAGATGCTGGCAGAGCTCAAGAGACAGATGGGGACGGCCAGCGAGCCAGGTCTCTTCTGCTGGCTTCCTTCTCTCACTGACCTCCACGGAGGCCTCTCTCCCAAACTTCCCCTTTCCTCTCTTTCTTCCTCCTCTACCCCTCAGGCCTCACTTCCCCATCAGCTTCTGCTGACACTAGCACCCACGAAAAAGGGGGAGCTGTGTGTGGAGCTGAAATGAGAAAGTGAAATTCTCCCAAATGTCTGTTAATAAGAGGCCCGTGAGCGCATGGAGGAAATCCATTTTGATGGGCCTGGCGGTGCTGGGGAAGAGGCAGTAAGAAAGGCCCCCAAACCAAACCCAAACCAAACCCAAACCAAACCCGTTGCTGCCAAGCGGACTTTAACTCATAACAACTCATATCGTAGACTTTCCTTGGCTGGGATGTTTAGCGAAGGAGACTGGTGGCACAGTAGAGTAGGCATGGGAATGATAACTGAAAGCTAGGTGGTTCAAATCCATTATCCACCCCTCAGATGAGGCAGTCTGCTTCCGTGGAGATGTACAGCCCCGGAAGCCCTAGCGGGGCAGCTCTGCTCTGATCTACAGGGATCACTGTGAGTTGGAATTGACCCCATGGCTATGGATTTAGTGGAATTCTTGGGGAAGCAGATCAGGATATCTTTTTTTGTCATGGGTTCAAACCATGAACGATTAGGCTAACAGTCCAGCACAAACCCTTAATACTACCTAGGGGCAACTCACCACACAGTTGGCCTGTCGGTTTGTGCTGTGGTGGATTGTGTGGTGCTGTGATGCTGGAAGCTGTGTCACTGGGATTTCAAATGCCAGCACGTCTCCCAAAGTGAGCACATTTTAGCGGAGTCTCTAGCCTAAGAACAGACGTTGAAGAAGGAATACACTGTCTACTTCTGAAGAATTAGCCACTGACGGCACTATGGACAAAAATGGAAACATTGTCAGACACTGAAAACTCTGGGTTACCAGCCCCCACAACTGAATGGGTCCAAGGGGCGGTTGTGTAATTGATGGATGAATTAAAGAGACATCATAGGGAACCAGTGGAGAGGTCTGAGGGGCCGGCCCCAATTCCAACTACGTGGACACCTGCCCCTCCCCCCAGAAGAATTTATTTCAGAGGACAGCACTGATGCTACAGCTCAGGGAGAGGGACATGTCTGATCAGAGCACATGGGAGCAAATGAAGAGGGAGGAAGAGAGAACGGAGCACATCCTGGTCCACCAAGCCTGGAGGACGATATCCTTGCTCAGAGCAGCCAATCCACAGAGAAGACCACATGGCCGGCCCCACTATGAGACAGGACATCCCTCACTGACCCATAGCCCTACAGGGGACAACACTGGAGACACAGTGTGGGAATTCCACCAGATCTGATCCCACCACACCGAGACAAAACACTAAGGGCGTGCAACAGAACAGCAAGGGGAACAGAGCAACAGAGTCCCCAGGGAATACCAAAAATAGACTTTGGGGCAAGGGCTTGGCACCCCATCAGACTTGACCAGAAAACACTCCCAAAGGCCAACAAACAGTCCCTGAACTAACTAAAGGCTTTTCTTTGTTGTTGTTTTTGTCATTGGCTTTTTGTTGTTGTTTTGTGTTTTTTTTGTTGCTTTGTTTTGCTCTGTCTTGTTTTGTGCATGTTATTATCTCTGCAGGTCTGTCTAAATAAGATAGGCTGGATGAAAAATCTGGAGGAGAAAACAATGGGACTGACGGTTCCGGGGGGACATGGGAGAGGGGGAGGTTGGGGGAAAGGAAGTGGTGTTAACAAACCCAGGGACAAGGGAATAACAAGTGATCCGAATCGGTGGTGAAGAAGGTGTAGGAGGCCTGGTAGAGTGTGATCAAGGGTAATGTAACCGAGAGGAATTACTGAAACCCAAATGAAGGCTGAGCATGATAGTGGGACAAGAGGAAAGTAAAAGAAAATAGAGGAAAGAACTAGGAGGCAAAGAGCATTTATAGAGGTCTAAATACAGGCATGTACATATGTAAATATATATGAGGATGGGGAAATAGATCCACGTGCATATATTTATACATTTAGTATTAAAGTAGCAGAAGTACGTTGGGCCTCCACTCAAGTACTTCCTCAATGCAAGAACACTTTCTTCTATTAAACTGGCATTTTATGATGCTCACCTTCCTGACACAACCACTGAAGACAAAGCGGGTGAATAAGCAAATGTGGTGAAGAAAGCTGATGGTGCC